TTTAGAAAAGCTGTAAATGTCATTTTAGTCCTCAATAGTTTATAGTAATTTTAGTTAGTCCTTGATCTTTTCTCAACCTATAAGAGGTTAAATTTTAAAAAAAAAAAAAAAAAGTTATGCAATTCGGATGGCATAGCTAAAATCAGTAGATAGTAGGTAAAATTTTTTATATTAAGAGTTAATCCCATTTAACACTATTTATTTCACAATATAATACAATTTAAATTGTAAAATATAAATCTTTTAAAAATTACCTTTAATAATTTTAGAATTTCTATTGATATCATTTAGAAATTATAATTTCTTCCAATTCAATCTATAATGCCATTTAAATTGGTATCAAATAATTTTATCTCCAATAGTTTGTGCTCTTACTTTACAAATTAATTTGGTATCACCATCACTTTGAGCCATTAACTTTGGTCTTAACTAGGCATAAAGTGTAGTATGGGACTTAATTATTCCAAAAAAAAAAAAAAGTATGAAGGTGAAATTAGAGAGGAAACTAACTAAATGGGCTAATGTAGGACTTAGTCCAAAAAAATGAAATAAAATAATGGAGTGGCATATTTGCAATTAAGTTGAAAAGGGAGTCCGATTTTATAAAATTGCAACCACTACCTCCAATTCAAATCACAGATCTTACTCTTTCCCTGTGCTTTCTTTGTATTCCCTCTTACACTGCCCCGTGAAAAAACAAGCAGAAAGGAACAGAATTTAATGTTGTCCAAATGAATCGATCATCGTCGTCGAACACCCAGAAGAAGAAATGGTCTCAGGTTGCAGGGAAGATGGAGTTGAAGAAGAATAAGAGGAAGCAGAGCTTTAGAAACCCATTGCAAGGGGCAAACAACATCAAAGACAGCAATAACAACAGCAGCAGTTGTAGTGGAAGCGGCAGCCTTTCCTCTTCGGTTTCAATTGAAGCACCAAAGGGTTGTCTCAGGTTCTTTCTCTCTCACTCTTCTTCTTCGAAAAGTCCTTTCTGTAATTGTAAGCCGGCGAAAGCCCCGGCTAAAACCCCCAAATCTGCCCCCATTTCACGCTCCTCTAAGTCGTTGCCTAAATCCAATACCTTGGTCAAGCAGAATAATTTCCCGAAACGGGCTGTTTCTGAGACACCTATTTCGCAGAAATTTGAGAAAGTTCAGAAATGGCAGTTTGTGAAAAAACCCAGTTCAAAAATTGGGCAGAAGAATTCAAATGATTCTTCTTTTTTGGATTGCAATGGTAGTCCTGTAAAGAGGTTAGCTTCTGGCTCTCAAGGGTCACTGAGGCAGCAAGACGAGGTGCAGTGTACTCCTGTGAGTAAGTTAGTAACTGGGTCAGGTTTGGATTGTATAGGTGTTGTTGATGGTCATAATGTTTTCGATGATAAAAAATCAAAAGGTAGTGATGGTAACACTACAACCCCTCCAATTCAGGCATCATTGTCTCCAGAGATTCAATGTGGGTCTGATGTGGTATCAACAAAAGCAACCACCTCTGCATGTTATGGTGCCGGTCACGTTATCTCTGGGATTACTGACAAGAGAAAATGTAGACCTAGAGGGATACTTGCAGTGGGAGATTATGGTGGTACTTCAAGCCTTGGTAAACTCAAGGCCTTGGATAACTTTGATGATTTTGATATTGAAGATAGTGATGTTGGAATTGTTAACAATTCTAGGGTTTCTATGGTCCCTTTACCTGCTGAGGCTTCAATGCACTGGTTGTTGTCTCCTTGTCATGAGGAGAATGAGAATGAGGAGAATTCTAAAATTAGGTCATGCCAATTGCCAAAGTTGGTGGGGCCTAACTCCAAAACACTCAATTCTCCATCTTCACCGTTATCTGGGCCTGCATTCTCTTTGGACTTGTGCAAGGTCAGCACCCATCGAAGTGGCACTACTGATGGCAGTAATAGTATGAGTGGCAGGAAGTATTTGCTTTCTCCCAGTGAAGTACCTCATTTTAGTTTGTGCTTGGATTCTTTACGTGAGAATGTGGTTGTTTCTTCTTCTCCAAATGTGAAGCCTTGTTATGGAGCTGGCTCCTTGAAAGAAGAGAGAAAGAACCGCTATGATTTTGATGGAGGAAACTCTCCATTCTCAGTGGACACATTGGGCAGTGAAAATGTTATTCAAACACCAGAGTCTGAATCAAGCTCAGAAAGGCCGGGTTTTTTTTCATGTTTGAGTGCAAATGATCACGGGAAACATAACATTGATTTTGAGCTCAGTACAGCAGCTGAAGATGTTCAGAGGGCAAGCTTGTCTCTCAAGAGCCACATTTCAATATGGGATCAAACTAATTCAAGCTTTCAGTTTGATCATTTACCTTCACCATCCAGTTCTGTTGATCTCTCCCAGTTTCAGAAAGTTTTGGGTGGTCAGGCTTTGTGGACATCAGATTCTACACTAGAGAATTTTTCTCAATCTCAAATGAGGATATCCTGGAGGGAAGGGTTAGCTAGTCGAATTTTTGAGATGGATGAGCTTGATAGCTGTAGGTGTCTATCAGAGGAAGAGGAAGACTTCAAAATCAATAGCAATGACCAATTAAAATCCTTCCAAAATCCCGAGATCAATATTGATATGGTGAATGATTTGAGTTTGAATGATGCTTTTGGGTCTGCTGAATTTGTAGACAGCGAACTCACTACAGAAAGGAAATGCAAAGAAAGGCTCCCATCTGTGCTAACATATTCATGTGCAGAATCCATTAGCACTGACAGAGGGGGCCTGGTCAGTTCAGAGGAATCAAATTGGAGTCTCTGCTACAAGAACAGCCTGTTTGAAACATAGGTCATTGCTAAATTCCTTCATCCCACTAAAATGAATCTGGCAACCCCAGGTTGAGGTGGTTGTTATTGCTGAGGATTGAGGATCACTATACAAGGACCACCATTGTACTCTGTCCATTCAGTAATTTCCATTTCATTTGTTCTCCTCTTGAATATTAGCTGTTTATGATTACTTCTTTTATTTAAATTTTGCAGAAAGCATTTCATTACTAAGCACTTACCTAGTTCTATCTCTATGCTGAATCAAAGAACCTATGAGTGAGCAAAAGTCAATAGAAAAATTTGACTAGCTGCTCAGTTGATAGAAATACTGCTTTTACTAATGTAACTATGTAACAATCTCTTCAAATGGGGTTACTTGAATTATCTAAAGTGACTCAAATGAGCCACGAATCTACCGTAAACAAGGGTGGTGAGATCAACATTAAGCTGAGTACTAGAAAATTCCTACTGTGCTTGGCATAGGAATTCAACTTTCAAGTTTGGCATGAATTCCTGCTTAGATCTTCAACATACAGACTTCTGTGTGGACAACCACAGGCAAGCAGGCAGGCAGGCAGGCAGTCTCCACCAAGGCCACCAACGCCTGTACAAGTCTATCAAAGACTTCTCCATGGGGTTTCCCCTCCAGGTAAGTAATGCTGTTTTTGACAAAAGATGTAATAATATGATTGGTTCAGGTTCAACAAGAGATAAGTGTGGGTGTTTCATTTGAAGCCGGCATCTCCGAAAGATGCATGAGATTGTGACTCCATACCTAAACTCCATGGAGTTCTCTTAGAGTAGCTTTCATGTCATCCATCATCTTAGATGAACGCCCAACGTATGACTTCTGAAGGTAACATTCACGGGTGCTGCAGTTGACAAAATCAAACTAGAACAACGATAAGAATGGTGGTTTCACAAGGTCCATATATGTACTATTATATACGGAGTGGTTGATGGCATTAAATCATAAAGAACTAATGACTTTCATTTTATTATAAGGAGATTCTGTGTCCTAATGTATATGTACCTAACTTGTGGAAACCTTCCAAGAGGATAGAATAGATGACTTAAACAAGATAGAGACTTGGCATGATTTTAATGAGTAGTCATTCACTTAGGGGCTGTTTGGTTAGAAGTAAAATTTGCTAAGAAAATATTGTATAAAAAATTAAAAATTATTAAAAAAAGTTTATAGGTTTTGTAATAAAATTTACTGAATTTTTATTAACTTATTAACTTTTTCATATTTAGAAAAAAAGTTAATATCGGAAAAATTGGAAGAAAAGTTGTTGAGTAGGTTTTGCATAAGAAGAAGTTGAGAGAAAAGTATTTCCTTTGTAAAATTATGAGAAGAAAAGTTTGTTTGTTGGGAATTATATTAGAAAAAATAAAAATAAAAATATCAACTTTACTATTTATTTGTCATAAATATAAAAATCAGGATGTCTTAACACTTAAGACATTTTGACGATTAGGACGTTGATATTCATCACAGTCATTTGTTGAGTGGATCTTACCTCATGACTCACTCAACGGATGATTGTGATGAATGTTCTGAGTGTCAAGATGTCTTGATTTTATAAACTCTTTTTGTTTATTGTAATATTGAGATGTAAAATTTTTAAAATACCACAAAACTTTTATGAATGAAGAAGAACAATTTCTTTTTATACCAAACATGTCTTTAATATCATGTGATTGTTTAAGATTTCATCATAAGATAAGATTATATAGCGACGCACAAACCAAAATTGACTTGAATCCATCCATCCCAAAAATTAACAATCACCAATCATCATCCACTTACGTTTAGCAATGAGGTATTAAGGTTGAATGTTGCTCAATTATTATTTATGCCTAATATGTAATATAGTCAGTAGGATTTAACTAACTTGTTCAACTTCAACCTCCATTCCATGTGCAAATCAAACGCTAGATTCTAGAAGCGCATGCATTTGGCTTTTAATGTGTCAACTTGATGGACTTTTCCTAAGCCAGACCAAGTCAAGAAAGATACAGTACCACATTAATTCTCTCCCTCAAACGAATTATATTAATAATTAGGAAGAAACCTTCAGCCCCATTTTTAAATTCATTTTAGTCCTTAAACTTTTTCCCTTTGCGTGTAAAATAGTATTCCTTATCGCTTTAATATTATATTTTTCATCCTAACTTGTCCTTATCCCATCGATGGATACATTTTTGCAGATGGTTATTGACAAATGACTCGCCAAAATTTTTTTTTTTTTTTAATTTAGATGGATAGGGAGTTTTTGAATTAGTCTTTTTACATTTTAAAATTAATTATTCTCCAAATAATTTTTAAAGATGGATTCTATGTATCAACTTAGTACATTTAATAAAATTAATTTTTTTTAGTATAATTACAAATTTTAAAATTTTAATTTTATTTAAAGAGTATTTATTTACTAATATATTTAACAATTGTGCTTATTTCCTTGTTTATTTTTCTCTTTTGAAGA